TCTTTTGGTCTTTGATGTTAAAGTCCAGGTGCAGTGCAGTGCCTTTGGCCGCGATCAGTTTGAAGATTAATCTGCAGATACATTGATTCCGATATCGACAAATCCGCAAACATGTTACAGTAACATTCTTGGTGAGGGGTAGTTGCCAAGTACCTCTCAGCTGATGGCTTAACTCGTCCTCTGATGGCAATGCTGCGGCCCGCACTGAGATAGCCCAAAAGGTCAACTATGAATCCAAACTGTGCACACACGTTTCGAATTGAATGCAATTTGTGTCGAAAAGGCATGAAAATGCTGTAAAAACTGTTGAGACGCAAATCCATTTCACACCAAAACTCACCCAATGAGGCGACGCAACAAGCATGCACGAGCCTTTGATGTCAACGTGCATGTGATTCCAATAAGATTTTTCATTCCAGAGTATGACACTTCCTGGTCCTGATGTCGTCAGGTGGGCAGGAGGAAGAGAAGGAGGCGCAAGAGGTGGACATGGAGTCGGAGCAACCCAAGTGGGACAATTACACTGAGGACAAGTAGGCGGAGGGGGACGAAAGTCCTTGGCTGCAGGGGTGCAACAGAATTTCATATGAGCGCCTGCATTCAAAAATATACAAAGTACGCATGACTTTCGGACCTTTTTTACAGATGAATTGCTGTTCGACTTTGCAAATGTAGTCATTGAGATGTCCGTCTCGTGTCAGTTCAACGCATTCCTCTTTGCGGAAAGCGTTGTTGGGTTCTCTTTTATTCCACCGGAAGTAGTCCTGTGCATCACATGGGGAATGTGGCTTTAGCATGTCCTCACAATGTTTTCTGATAGTATAACTTGTAATCTTATAACCTTTTTATTTGGGTTATTCAAACTTTTTTTTCCTCACACTGCCCGTTTGCTCTCATCAAATGACAGCTTTTTACACCAAAAATACTTGGTAATCAGTTTGGTAATAAAGCCGTTTAAACTAACGGCGTTAGGTAACTTTTTTTTTCGTAAACGGAGTAATCTATTTTCCTTGTAGTTGCAACACAACTATCGTGACTTTACGTTAAATGCGACGCGTTCCATTTATTAGTTTACAACAGGGGTGCCCAAACTTTTTGGACCTTAGATCGACTTTTCGATCAACCATCCTCCCGGGATCGCCCCTTACCGCAGGCGCGCGCGCGCGCGCACACAACACACCCACACGCACGCACGCACGCACACACACGCACACACGCACACGCCATGATGCGAAACAGCCTGGCGCGGAGGCATGCGGTGCACTTTTGCAGCCTGTTAAAACTCTCGTAGATCACACGTGCCGTTTTAAAGTGCTGCCCTGGGCCCTCTAGATTCTTATTATTTGCCCGTGCCCTCGGTGAATTGTACACGAAGCAAACTCTGAATGAGAATAATGACGATAAAATATATAGCGCAACAGGTCTGATCACAAGCTGCAATTGCAGACTGCTGAGCGCTAACAACTTCCGGTGACGTAATCACGCGCCACCGTAGGTTAATGATTTACCTGCTTTATTTTATTTTATTTTTTAAATATGTTTTTGTGAAAATGAGACTGATAGGATGATTAGGGTGCAGCGTACATTAACACAAAAACTATATTACTAACATGTACAAAAACACACAAATGGTTGTTTTTTTTCTCTACACCGCTCGGATCTACTTCGGACCTGTCCTAGATCTACCGGTCGATCAGGATCAACGTAATGGGCACCCCTGGTTTACAACTCCTGAGTAATAGTAATGCTCCCTGGCCCCACAAATAGCCTGCTGGTTGGGGAGAACTCCGTGAAAAGAGAAGCGATCATGATTGGCAGTCATGGCAGCCAAACGGAGCCAGTGCGTTGGTAGTCGCTATTCTGGCGAGATGAGATGATAAAACGAGCATCTACATGTGGGACCATATTTCTGACCGGAAACAGTGCTCCATTTGAGCGCGCCCCCCCCCCTTTATTTATTTATTTATTTTTTTGGTCACGTCTCTAGACGAAATAAAGTTTGATTCCGGTTACTGCAAACAGTTTATATCGTTGAACTGTTACATTTGAAAGAGGTGCTTGAAGCACAGAATGTCTACCAAGACCACTTCTCACGGCCTTTTTTGTGTGTATTTCTCAATTACAACTTTTGGGGAGAAGCGTCATAATGATTGACTTACCGCAGTGGTATTGTCAGTATTGCGAAAGTCGTAATCCCAATAGAAGAACATATCCCACCACTCTATGCTCACTCCCAACCATGCGCTGCATCGTCCAGACTGAACCAGGAGATCTTCGGGAAAGAACAACAATCAGTTATAGCATGAGGACGGAGGGGGGGCGGCCAAGAACTTGTTAGCATCAGTGGCGACATTTAAAAATAGCCCAATCTATCCCAAATTTATGTTTTGAGACAGCGCAATAGCCCTAGTTTTATGTTCAAATGGATTAAAAACCATCGAATCATTAATGGTCATATTTTAGTCTGTTAAATGTGGCTAATGAAGACCTTTCTGTTGACATATTACATAAATTTACAGACCTACCGGTTGAAAAAAATACACCCTCCTAAACATTAAGAGGACTATCCGAGATGCATTTGGCCCTCCCCAGAAGCCAGATTGATGAATGTTGTGAAGCAATGTGGGATCATTCCTGGAATTTTCAGGAATCCCCAAGCTGCTGTTTTGGTGCTTACTTGTCAAGAAATCCAACTCCGCCTCTGAGTGGACGCTGGCTAAGTGAGCTTTGTGATTGACACAGTACTTCTCGGCCTCAGACCAACTCAGATCTCCCGCCATCAAATAGCAATGACTGCAGTATGGCTGCCACCCGTTGTTCACATCGCACTGGAGCTCCGTATCGGCTGTGGCAAAGGACACATTTTGAAGCATAGTCTCGGCAGGTGTTTTTTTTTGTGCAAACCGTTCAACATTAATAGCAGGAGGTGGCACGAGCAGTCTTCCATTTTCCCGAGAGAAGCCGTGTAGGGTCACTTCGGCCATTTCCAGGGTTGTTCTTCAAATTTTATTCCAGCACAATTTTGTGTAGAAATGAAATAGTACCTTTATAGAAGAGACAATTTAGTGATTCCTGCAAGCCACTTGCTCTTAACTTTGAGAAAAGTACAAATTTGCATGTTTTAGGGAAGTCATCTTAATTAACCAGATCCCCTAACCCTAACCCCCAACCGATAACCCTAACCCATAACCCCTAACCCGAAACCGTAACCCCTAACCCAGTGGTTCTTAACCTTGTCGGAGGCACCCCCCCCCCTTAAAAAAATACTACCGGTAATTGTGTGTATGTTTAACACATTTTAATCGTGCAACAGGAAAATAAGTAGTCTCTTTTTTCCAGAGTGCACTCATCGATCTGAAAAGAAAACACTTTGTGCTTTATTTTTAATTAAGCGGCGCCAATACGGACGCTTACTTCTGCAAGATCACTGAAAAATGTCGTATATGAACAAGTACCAGTACACAGGTTTCCCTTCTCTAATTTTAAGAAATAAATCCGTTTACTACATTTTCATCACGGATAACCAAGCAATATGTTAAAGTAACTCCAAACGATTATAATTCGAGGTTGCCCTATGCTATTTTGGGTGTGGGGGGCCAAATAAGACGGCCCAAAAGCGCACATTTTCATACAATAGCGATTCTGTTTCGCGCTCCCATTATTTTATGCAATCGACTCTCACCGCCACCCACTGCAATCGCTAACGCGAACAATGAAATTTATTGATGACTTCTGTTACGCCAAGTAACGTAATCATTCGTGTACTAAGAAGGATTGCCGATGGTGTCGTGGTACACTCGCTTGCCTCGTGTGCGGGCAGCGTAGGATCGGTTCCCACGGAGTGACGGTGTGGATCTAGATGTGGGTGTGAATGGTTGTTCATTCCTATCTACCCTGCGACTGACTGGCAACTGGTTGAAGGTGTAGTCCGTCTTCCGCCCAAAGCCAGCCCTTCTGTTTATGACCCGGTTCAGGATAAGCGGTATGGAAGGATGGATGGATGGCATTCATGTAGTACTCACACATGACAGTAGACTGCAAAAAGTTGGCCAAGATGGCCATCAGGAGATGCAGGTACATGGCGACTCTGGCAAGGCGGTCCCCCTCACATGGAGAACAGATGCACTCGGCTCAGGCGTTTGACTCTTCTGTCAACTATTGGAGAAGCGGGTTACAGAATGTATGGCGAGTGCCGACTTCCAAAAGTGTCCTACTAAATGGCCCACATAGACACCCAAACGCATCATAGAGTTGTAGGGCACATCAAAGCACGCATCATAAACGCAGGGCCGACTTAACCTTTGTTGAATCATATTGTCATTTCAAAAGCAACGTAAATGACAAAACAAAACACACTCGTTTTGATTTCATTTCCACTCTTCATTGTGCGGACATTATCCTTCCATGATCCTTGCTTAAATCCGTCCCGAGATCTCAAATTGTCGTAAGTAATAAATAACGGTGACATTTTGCAATAATTGTGTTACGCCGTTTACACTCACTTGAGCAATAACAAATACTTGACTGACTCCAAAACCAGTGTCATCTTTTTTTTTTTTGTGTGTACTGTACAAGTAATAATGCAATGTGATGATTAAACATTTATTCAGTTTCACAGTCTTTAACGTGCCTCCGAGGGAATACGTAACTCCAAAGTGTCCCGCGACAAAAACGAGTTTGACACCTGTGGTCTCACGCGTTCCACAGTCTTCCTCATCCCAAACCTCAAGCTTGAGTTCACGCCAAGGGGGCCTCAATGACAAACTAAGGACACTTTGTGTGACCCCTCCCCTTGGAGAGAGGTTCTCTGTAAGAGCAGTGTAGCAACCATGCGGGTATACGGGTTAACAGTTCTTTAAGTTCCGTCGGTCTGTGAGGACTTGAATGCGATTTGGGATTAGATGTGAGCAGCAAAGAGGGTGTGCCGGTGTGGGTGTAAGCCAGTTTGTGTGTACAAAGAAGGTGGAGCACGGCGAAGGTTGACAGTCACTCAACTGATTTTGAAATAAACAGTTGATGTGTCTAGAGAGCTTTGCGTCATCCGGGCAGACGTTACATGGAATATGCTCATTTGTGGAGAAGTGTTGTGTTATGTCAAAACAGCTTTTAATTTGAAAGCTGTGAGTTGAAGAATAATGGCCCCGCCATAACCTGTGGTTCACCGATTTTTGTTGTCCTCTCAGTTGACTCCTCCCTCTTTTTTCTCAGTTTGTCTACTTTGTAGGTGACAAGGTGAGTTGGGTTGAGCAACAACATAGGGGCCAGTGCTACCGGTAATCTACTCTGTGCCCAGATAAGCAAGACATGAGCTCGTTCCATCGACGCCGCTGATTGCTGCACCGCATCCTGCCTCGCTCCGGCGGATTTTGCTGTTCAAATTGGATTCTTGTCGTTGTGTTCTGAGATCCTACTGCCGTAAGTTTTGGAATCGTCCAAGCAGCCCTTGTTGCTTAAAACTACAATTTGAACCCTGTCCACACCTTGTCAGGGCGCTTTTGTTTGCATTCGCCTCGTCTTGTTTGTTTTTCCTAGGTGTGTTCTTTAAGACTCTTTTTCATAATTGTCAGTAACGCTTTTCATTTGTAACTTTGTTTGGAATCAAGGCTGAGTTGAATTATTCGCACAAGACTCTTAATTTCCAATGGGGCCAGAGGAGGAACAAATTATTGCAGAGTGGTTCATGATTGGGGTCGGGCCGGCCTCCAGCAAATATAATGCACGACAGCGACAAAGAGCAGTGTTGGCCACCTTTAAAACATATGATAAACAAATAATGCATCGTTGTTTTGCATTTCTAATACGGTTGAAACATAAACTCTCTGTTGTCAGGCAACTAGTCCACCTGAGGCCTGAGTATGCAAACTGTTTCAGGATTGTACCAACAAAAGCTCTAAAGCTTGAGTTTGAAGTGAACTTTAAATCTGCGTCAGTGCCTGCAATTACACCTGATTTTAAATAAATAAAGAAAAAAACCCAAAACCTAAAAATCCATCTCTTCTTATCTCACAAACAGTGCTCTTCTGGGAGAAGCAACACTACCGTGGGACTCCAACCAAATTATGTTCATTTCAAAATAAAACACCTATAAAATATGCAAATTTGACCATTACCCAGGATTTTATAAAATATTACAAATTAAAGTTTAGAACATAAAGAGCATTTGGTCTTTCCTTCTGTTTGATATATTATAAAATTACCCACATGTCCGGTATCATAACTGCATATCTGATGTTTGTAACAAACCAATCTGGGTCAAAAATTGGTCAAGAATTAAACAAGTTATGATTCATTTATTGGAGGCAAACACAGTTACCTCAATACAAGTGAATCGCTGGGGACACCGGTGGCGGCTCGGTCTGCATGTCCTCAACAGGCCGAGGCGCTTTCTAATGGAGGGGTCTCAAACGGGCAGCAAACTCAGTACATGAACAAAATATCATTCTGCGGGCCATAAATGGCCGCCAGGATGATATTTTGTTAAGTATGAGTATGAGCATCAAACGACACGGGCTCAACTTGCTAGCGCTTGGAATTGTCCAAATGGCAGCTTTCTTTGGTGTTTTCCACTCCTTTTGAAAACTGCTTGGTAGCCCCAAAAACATGGACCTTAGTCATAATCCGGCGCGCGGCCCGAGATCTGCAAGTCACTCATTAATGTGCGCTTAGTCCCTTGAAGTACGAAGAGCACTATTCATCTTCTCTATTTACACATGTACTTGAATGGGAAATATGCACTTAATTATGAAATGATTTTTTTTTTTTAACTCTTCAGATGCAGAGTTGACAGGGAGGCTCTGCCTGCTCTGACCACACGTCCCTGGTCTTTCAGGACACAACATCGACATGGAGACTTTGAGACAGCGTTCGCGTCTCGAGAGGAATGAGGAGGAAGGGAAACTTGGCAAAAGCCAGTCCCCGTTGTTCAGAAACAAATATGATCCTCTCCTTAGGAGAGGTGGGTTCATTTCCTGGTTTTGTGTGATGTCATCGTACAACTGTCGGCGCCTGTGATTGTTGTCATTTTCCACTCCGGTGAAAGTCATTCTTCTTGCTCCATGTAGATGTGCTGAGAGTTGCAGCGTTTTCTGTCATTTTCCGTGTGGTCAACTGTTTTCTGGTTCAGAGCAGCTTCGTTCCAGATGAGTACTGGCAGTCTGTGGAGGTCGCTCATCGCATGGCCTTCAAATATCCTTTCGCTGCATTTATTTTAGCACCGCCTATCCACGGATTTTCTATAGTGCAGATCCTCAGGAGGGTCAGTGGAATCATTGTCTCGAGAAGTCGTTCTCAAGCGTAGTACTGCAAGTACAACGCTACGAAGATCTCCAAAATACCACCAAAACCAGATGTAGGCATACAAGTGTTATTTGAAAAAGGAGACAAGAGATTTGATTCCTTAAATGTAGACCGTTTTGAATAGTGTTTGTAGCACTCAAGGTCGGTTTTGGTCTCAAGAACACATTTAAAAAGTCTTGGTCTTGCCGGACTTGGGATTTTCCATCAAGACTGGACTGTTTTTTTTCCCCCCGCGACGTGGTGTGATCTGCGGAGCGCACGGGGACCGTGCAGCTGGTCGGACGGGCCGCGTTGCGTTCTCTCTCCCCCCACCCCCTCCCCCCCTTCCCATCCATCCGCCCCCTCATTACATGTTATGTCTTGTGACTTGTTGTAACTGTCATATGCTTCTATATGTGCAGGGTCTTTTTTTTATCCTGGACTCAAATTATCCTCAGAAGAGTATAATTCGAGCGTGTTTTTTTTCCCTTCTCCCTCCCTTGTGGTTTCCTTTCTGAACTCTGACTGTAAATTTCCCCAGTGTGGGACAAATAAAGGATATCTTTTAAGACCAGCGAAGATTTGCTATTCTTCAACTTCAGTAATGTGATAAGAAGGAGAAAATACGATGCAAATTCTGCGCACTTCAACTCAGTAAAACGGTGAGGACAATGTCAAACTCGAAAGAAAAGACGACGTTAACTTTAATGAACATCTCAGTTCCCAAAAATCTGATTTTTCTGGCTATTCATTGATGGGTCAAGCATTAAAGGGTTAAATAACAAACGAGAATCTAATTTTGTCTTTTAGAAATGAATATTTCGGGAAAAAGGTTTTGATTCCGCCTTAAAGTGGCTTCATTTAACACGTGTTATACTTTGGCTGTAGCTTTTGCCAAATCGACTAAATTGGCTATTTTTTCACTCTTTATTTCTCAATATATACGACAGATTTACTATCTGCAATAATTTAGTTGGCAAAAACTGTTACCATTTGAGATTTATTTTTTTTTCATGTTGTCCTTTGAAAGGGTTACAGACACAACGGTTTTGGCGGTCAAATGTATTCAAAAGAAATACAAACTTAAATACAGGGTGCTGTTGAACGATGCAATCTTTTTATGGTCTTTGTCATGTCATGGTTAACTTGTCTCAGTGTGGAGTCCCAAAAGTCTTGGTCTTGTCTTGGGTCTCAGACATGGTGGTCGCAAGCGCAAAACTCGTATTATTCTTAGTCACTGTTTCCAAGTTTCAACATCAACGCTGTGCTTTCATTTTGGAAAGTATGAAAACACTTGATCTGTTCAGAATGCACAGGATGCCTTGGACCAGTCGCAAACTATTTGCAGTTACATCAGCAATTTTTTATTTTTTTATTCCCATTATTATGACCTTAACTGTGTGACTTATGGCCATCTGACGTGGGAATGGAAGGAAGGCATAAGAGGCTTCACCTATCCTCTCTTCTTTGCCGTCATTTACAAAATACTACACTGGATAAACTGCGACTACGTGTATCTTCTGGAAAGTGGTTTTATTGTTTTCTTTTTTGGGGTCTTGATATTCAGGCATGTTTCGGGTCAGATGTGATTAATGATTCAAATGACTTTTGTTTTCCCTGCAGATTTGGCTGCCCCGCCTACTTCAAGCACTTGCCACTGCGTTTGCAGATTTCAAATTCTTCTTCCTTGTCAGAGAACTGGAAGATCGAGATGTCGCGAAATGGACGGTGACTAGACCCGTTTGTCTTTGAGGGACTGTCCATTCATCGCATTTTGATTTTGTTTGTGTGTGTGTGTGTGTGTGTGTGTGCAGTTCTTCTGCCATCTGTGCTCGTGGTTCACATGGTACTGTTGCAGCAGAACGCTGACTAACAGCGTGGAGGCCACAATCACTTGCCTGGCTCTGTGCTACTTCCCCCTGCCAGCATCCAAAACACACAGCAGGTCGACTTCACGTCACGAACGTCTCAAAAAATGTGCCACGGATTCCCGGCTGACACCTTGTTCGTGTTTGATTTCTCCTTCAGCAAAAAATTTTTGAGCCTCATTGCACTGGCGATTGTTGTTCGCCCAACGGCCCTGATTGTCTGGCTCCCGCTGTTGATTTACCATTTCTGGCGGGACGATAAAAAACTGAGACTCGTGGTTCATGACTACATCCCCATTGGGTTAATTCATCTTCACAGCTTCATAATTCTGATCTGGTTGTGTGTGTGTGTGTGGAGATAAGTGTTTTTGTCTTTTCTTTAGGGCTTCTACCATTGTGATTTCAACCATCATCGACTCCATCTTCTATGGAAAGGTGAACTATATACACACTCGCTGAACAACAACCATGCAAATTGCAGAAGCAACACACTAGGCCAGTGGTCGCCAATCTGTTTGAAACTGAAAGCGTCTTCTTTCAATGCGAAGGGCTACCAGGTTTAGACACGGTTCTGAAAGAACAAATTTTCTCAAATTATCTTGAATAACGTTGCATACCGACCGGAGTGCTGAGTTTGAATTTTGGCACCAAAACCATATCCGTTCCCAAGATGACATTATTCAGTGTCTTATATTTCATTAAATTAAAAAAAAACATGTATATTTTATAGTCCATTCTGTACTGTGTACAGTTAATTTTTAAATTTATGTTGTGCATGCAAATACTTCATGTTTTTCGACTTCCCTCCAAATTTTGCTGCTGTAAATTGCAAATTTCTACATTCTGAGACAAATACTGTACATGTTTTCTTATCTCAGCGGTGTCAAACTCATTTTTGTCACGGGCCACCTTGGGGTTATCTCTTCCCTCGGAGGGCCATTACGACAGCGAAACTAAATGAATGTTTACATATTACTTGTACACAACACATTGATGGATTCCCAGTTTTGAAATTCATCAAATCAATATATATAATAGTTTGGTCAATTATTGTTTGAGTGAGTGGGAACAGGGTAACAAAATGATCACAAAATCTCAACGTTATTTATTTCATGTGACAATTTGACATTTCGGTCCGGATTTTAGCAAGCATCATAGAAGTTGACATATGATTTGCTTTCACGCGGCACATAAAATGATGTGGTGGGCCAGATCTGGGCCCCCGGGCCTTGAGTTTGACACCGTGTCTTATTTTAAAAAAGCAAAAAAAAAAAAAACCCAAAAAACCAATTTAACTTAGCTAAAGGACCATACAACCTATTCAGACTTAGCCTCCTTACACTATCCATTTTTCACAAAACCTGATTTCTGATAATGTGCCAAGACATCGTTTTGAAGAAATAAGTCCAGTGTATTTAGTGTGTGCAAAATAAAGAATGTTTTTGGCTCATCGGTTGTTTTCTGTGTAGTGGATCTTCGTGCAGTTCAACTTCCTGAAGGTGAACGTCTTGGATGGAATGGCTGGTTTATTCGGCACCCATCCCTGGCACTGGTACCTCACTCAGGGCTTCCCAGTCGTAATGGGCCCCCATGTGCCATTCTTTTTGTACGGATGCTCCCTCGCGTTCAGAAAGTACACAATCCTGCTGGTGGCCATCACATGGACCATCGGGGCGTACAGGTAAAGTATCGAAATTCTCTCACTCGCTCTCCTCACAGACCCACTATTAACCCTGGTCGCATCGTATCATGTCGTGAAATTCTTTTCCAGTCTGCTTCCTCACAAGGAGTTTAGATTCATCTACCCTGTGCTTCCCTTTTGTATGATCTTCTGTGGTAAGTCCCGATTACAACTTCTTACAACAGCTGTCCAAAGCACTCATTGCCGGTTGTCTTTTGGGGGAGTTTTTTTTTCCAGTTTCTGTGAAGGAAAACACAACACGTAATTTCATTCATATATTTGGGGTGTGCAGAGCCAGAGTAAGACTCATTTTCAGGCTTGGGAGTTTCAGAGTTCAGAGCAGCCCAGTTTAGTTCACGTTGAATGAGGATTTACAATGATTAAGGGTGCAACAATCACAATTTTCTGGCCCAACGCCAAGCCCCGATCTTGAAAAGCCTGACCTGCCAATCCCATTTTTTTGTTTGTTTTCATAACTACCAGGATATACTTTTCAATTTTACTGCACATTACCTGTGAAACAATACAAATGGGTTGTTTCAACTGCATATGAAGTCGTTTTTGAAATAAAAATGAAAAGATTTGTCATCTCTCAGCACAAGAGGCAAGGCAAGGTGGTTGTCTTGACAAATAACATGAAAGTTGAAGCATCCCACAATTTGTGCGCGTCATCAGGAACAACGATGGCTCGGATGAGAGCTTGGCGACGAGCAGCCGCTGCTGGTTTGTTGGCATCCAACCTGCTCATAGCCCTCTACACGGGCCTGATTCACCAGCGTGGCGCTCTGGACGTCATGAGCCACATCCATGCCCTTTGTCACGACGACTCACAGCCGGATGTCCTCTTTGCCATGTCCTGCCACTCAACGCCTTACTACAGGTGCTAAATGCGGAAAGCAATCGGAGTGCTTCCCCTTTTTCCAGATACAGCCTTCTTATGAAAGGGAGCATCATGGTACAGGTTATGAATGACTACAGTGGATATGAAATGTCTCCAAAGATAAATCACTTCCAAACTTTTTCCAGCATTAATGTGATCTATGAACTGTGCAACTCAATTGAAAGAAAAAAAAAGATAATAAAGTTGCACAAGAGTGCACTTGCACTTGTAAGCAGATCTGTTCTGACTTAACCAATCATATTGAAACTCATTTTATATGGGAGAATGTCTGATGAATTTAAGATGTCCTAGTAGGCACTCCATTGTCTTTTGTTTTAAGTACAAATTACATTTGGCAAACTGAGTGTGACCATTCACCCAAACCAGCATTGGAACTCCAAGCCTCAGGTCCAAAAGGTGTTTTGCACCCCTGGACCTTCCAGCAACCCTGGTGTTAATTTTGTTTTATTTTTTTTGTCGAGCAGAAATAATGAGGGGTGTGTTTAATACTGACCAATATTTCGAACAGGTCATAATTCCTCTCATATGGATTGGGGCGCTGCTAGTTCTAGCGGAATAAAAACAGCCACACACACCGGTCGTGACTCTATAGCCGCTCTATGTTCCTCTTTTCTTTATGTTCCTCTTTTCTTTATTTTTTCTTAATACATTTACAAAACTGAAACTGTAAATGTTATGAGTGCTTTGTGTTATTTTGAGTGAAGGGAAAAAAAAATTGAATCTATTTTAGAACAAGGCCATAACATGACAATATGGAAAAAAGTTCAGCACTGAATACTGTCTGGATGCACCGTATGCAGATCTTGAAAATTATTCTTTCTCCCCTTGCAGCCATGTCCACTGCCCACTAAAGATGAGGTTCCCCGAGTGCCCGCCTAATCTCAGCCAGGTGGACGATGTGAACGAATCGGACAGGTTCAATGACTACCCGCTTCTCTGGCTTCGAACTTCGTATCCACATGCGCATTCACTTCCGACTCACTTGGTTCTCTTTGACGTTATGGAAAAGGTAAAAGTGCAGACAAATCTGGCTTCAAAGCAGATGTGGTACTTTAATGCTGACGTTTGTTTTTTTCATATCTTGTAGAAGATCACAGCATTTCTGCATGAAAACAACTACACGAAAACAGTCGATATATTTCACACTCATTTTCCCGAGGGTGGAGTTGGAGGAAGAATCTTTATTTATGAAAGGCTGCGACAACCACAAGTTCATGTTTGATTTTATGCACTAGATGTTCAAAAAGGTTTTAAAAGATTTTATGCATTAAAAAAAAGTTTGTGTGAATTTGTCATCCCCCCCCCCTTTTGCAGACGCACATTAGAAAAAGAAATGGTTGAACAGCAACAATTTTAAAGCAATCGCATCACACAAGCTTGAACTTAGGAGCTTGAAATCCCCCCTCATCACAATAGCTTGAGCTGCCAATCAGCTATTTTTAATGAGTATATCATAAGAGCACACTTTCAGGAAGAGACCATAAAGTGTTAAAATACTGAGCTGTAACTAGATTTTAAAAACAACCTTGACAAATTAAGCGATTTGTCTGTGCAGCTTGAAAATCAGACCGGCACATATTCATTGCCACTTTGCTTCACGGTCAACATTTGTAACTTTTTTCAAACCTTAGCAACGTTTGGAGGCCAAAACAGCATTTGTGTCTCATTTGGGTGGAAAGGTATTTTAACACTTTTTAGTCTAAGACGGACTACTTGTTAGTTGTTGGGGGGGGGGGTGGGGGAGCATCCTCAAACGCAGATTTGTATTTTAAGGTTTCGTCGTTTGCCTTCCAAAACAGAAGCTCTATTCTAAACGTAAAAAGATCTAAATCCAAAGCCACTACATTTAAAGTGCGTCTGAAAATTTTCAGATGGAAAAGCACACCTGACATTCAGTAGCGTTAAAACACATCAAAACATTGTGCAAACTGACGACAGCAACCCATTGTGGTATGAAGGAGGTATTCCCACACCACGACATCAAAACTCTCCAAAAGTGTTCATTCTATACAGTATTTGCGATCCAACGGCATGGGCCCCAGTTCGATTTTCACGTCAGCCATGTGTCTGTTTCGTCGCTCACCCTGATGCCGCAATTTTTGTCTCTGCTGCCGACGACTTTGATGCTTTGTCCTCAACTCCTCTCGGGAGTCCGAGTCTGGTCGTTCGAGAGGCCCGCTGGGAGATTCAAGACTGAACACAGGGAGTATTTACAAGTAAGAATACAATGATGAAAGAGTCGTAGGCGAGTCGCGCATTTGGCAAGCCTCTGTATCACTGAGTCAAAAACTTAATCATTAAGATATCATTTATTTGTCCCACACTGGGGAAATTTACAGTCTACAGCAGCAAAATTGGGGGGGAGAAAGAAGAAAAAAACTGTTTGCAAGCACAAAATAAATGTTTCAGAAGAGAGCTGTACACAGTTCAATATAAGTGCAATATAAATATAAATATATATATACAGTGATCCCTCGCCATTTCGCGGTTCGTTTATCGCGACTTCAGTGCATAGCGGATTTTTTCAAACATAAAAAAAAAAAAAAAATCGCAAAAATCCGCAAAAGGTCCTCGAGAAGCAGCGAAAGTCAGCAAAACAACAGCGAGTCACATAGAGCAACATATACTATAAGTATATGTTTACTGTATTTTGTTATTCATAAACTAATCTAACTTATACATGTTTAAATCTATTAGTATACAGCATTAAGTCATTATTTCAAAATTTACTTCTACATGCATGTATGTATACCATTAAATTTGGCCTTATAAATATTATGTACATGTACCTATATGGAAGGGGGGGGTCGCTACTTCGTGGATTTTAGTTTATTGCGGGTGGTTTTGGTCCCCATGAACCGCAATAAATGAGGGATTACTGTATAAGCATATATGCAACTGGTGTAAGGTGGCTGTGGTATTTACAATTGTTACTGGTTTTTCACATATTTTATTTTTTTATTCAGCAGCCTGACAGCAGTCGGTAGGAACGAGCGGCGCTCAGAAAGGGGAGACTGACGATGTGCAAAACAAACACACACACACACACACACACACCCCCCCTCCATCCTCAACACCACTTATCCTGAAGAGGGTCATGGGAATATTGCTGGAGGCTATCCCAGCTGATCCTGGGCGAAAGGCCGGATAACCCCTGAACATAAGCATAAAGTTTCTTTAACTTAAATTAAGATTAGGTTTAGTGCAGGCAGTATCACTTTATTTTACACTATTCTACAAGAGTGCACATAGCTATTTTTTTTTGTTATTGAAAAGCACATAAATGGGAACTGAAGCAGTTTAGTTGCCATTCATTTCAACTGGGAAAGGTAATCTGAGATATTTTAGATTTGAGTCGAGGGCGACGGCTCTTTCCCCCCAACCTTGCGGAACAGTTGGGACGTCAGCAGTCTGCTCACCTGGGCCCATCGCTTTTGCCGTACGCGTCTCCGAAGAGGTGTCTGTAGATGAAGTCGTCGACGTCTCCGAAGACGTCGTCGTGGAGGCCGTGGTACTCGGGCATGTTGACCAGGTAGTGTTCCACGCTGCTCACAAAGTCCGTGAAGAGCATGCGGTCGTGGATGAAGAGGCCGTTGTGGAAGAAGCCGTTGATGAAGCTCTCCAGTTCCTTCCAGTGATGGAAGTGGTGGACTTCCCGCTGCAAGTAGCTCCACAGCAGCTGGTGGAACTCGTCTGCTCGTATGGGTTCCGTGGCTTTGTTGAAAACGCTCGTGGACTCCTGGTAAGCGCAATCGAACACTCCTCGGCATCCTTTGAGGTTGGCGCTCTGGCCTTGCTCTTTACGGACTTTGTCTCCTGGTTTGCGTGTGTTGGCGTCCTGTTTGGGATGATCCTTTTTTTTCTTGTACTTTCTCGCCTCATAATATTTTGTATCTTCTCTCATCATTTTGTCGAGGAAGGTGGACGCCGAATCTTTGAAGTGGCGAAAAGTGGATTTGACGGAATCAGAGAATTTGCGCAGGTTTTCCTTCACAGATTCCTTGGCTTTCTTAATCTGCTCTTTGTGATGGTGGACAAACTCCTTGGTTGAGTTCTTGACTGCATCAAATGTCTCTTTCACGATCCCCGATGTGCGCACTTTTGCTTTCATCACTTTGGGATCCATGTCTCCTTTAGCCTGGTTGTCTTTGGTTTCCAGGTAGAGCCTCTCCCACATGTCAGAGCGCTGCTGCTCAAAGACCAGCCTCTTCTCCAGCTCCCGCAGTCTGGACCTGAGCTCCTGGGCTTCTGCCTCATGTGTAAGCTTCCTCTCCTTCTTGAACTTCTTCCTCAATTCCTTCTCGCTCTCCAGCTCCGCCTTCAGCCTCCGGTTTTCGGACAGCAGCGCATCGGCTGTGGCCCCCGTAGCCTCCAGATCTCGAATCCTGGAGCGCAGGCTCCTCAGCTCGTCCTGCAAGGTGGACAGGGACTTTTCCTCTTGCCCCAAAGAGTTTTGCAGCTGTTGGTTCATGGTGGTCAATGCTAGGTTCTCCACCTCCCTCTGTCTTGCTAACAATGCCTGGGCGTCTAGCTGGACCTAATTGGGATCAGGAAAAAAAAGAATGTGGGGAAAAAAAGAAGACAACTCCTGTGAACTCCAGGAAAAGTGAGCAGAATAGAGAGAATAGATGCTTGTGTTTAGTCAGGTGTATGCTCCGTTTGTATATGTTACTGCTTCATGTGTAAAGCAGCAGTTGTTTGAAGGTTTATGATTAGCATAACAACTATTCTAACGTCACTCATGATGTAGTGGTGCATTCGCCTGACTTCAGCGCAGGCAGCGTGGATCCAGTTGCCAATCAAAGAGATCATGTAAATGTGAGATTGAATGTTTATCTTTCTTTGTATGTGTCCTTATGACTGAGTCTAGCTATAGTGAGGATATGGGCTACTGCAGGCATGTCCAGCTCCGGTCCTGGAGGGCCACTGTCCTGCCCGTTTTCCATCTCTCTGGGCTGCAACACACCTGATTCAGATGATCAGCTCATCAGCCAGCTCTGAAGCAGCATTAGAACGATCCTGATGATTTGAATCAGGTGTGTTGCTCCTGGGAAAGCTGGAAAACAGGCAGGACAGCGGCCCTTGAGGACCGACTTTGGACACCCCTGGGCTACTGCATAGGGCGCAATAATTCCGAATGCGACCAGGACCCAAGCACTGCTAAAAAATACAGTTGGACACTCATCAACTCACATTACGGAATTAAGCATAAGACTCCCTGTGATGTGAACTGGGTGAGGCTGTATTGCATGCTGAGGCTCCTCATACAACATTTTGTCCCTCATCACTTTTTTTAATCTCTAAAAAGATAAGAGTGCCATTCAAGGAAGACGCAATTTGCTACAGAAAGACACGAGTGAGAATGAAGATGAAAAAAATGGGTACATGAAAACGCGGGGCTCATTCCCATTCTTTTGAATGTAACCGGCAAAGAACGTACGCCACTCGCAGATATTCTTACCTCATAATTTAGCTATTTCATTCACAGGTTTACAGGAAATTATAAATATGCTTCAGTATTGTTGTAAAACACAAACTGTGTACTGCATGAACTGCATTTCTCTCGCAGAGTCGTTGCTAGTCCATTCATATACTCTATAAGTGCATGTCCCTTACTATTGCATGGGCAGTTTGCTCACTTGGGCCCGCAAATAAATGCCTGACCTCTGCTGGTAACCAGTCGAGGAAATCTTTTCATTCGTGCCTTAAGAAAGGAAAAATAAGTTACCTGAACAAATTCCTGCATGGCGTTGAGCTCCATGTTCTCTTTGCTCATCTTCTTGATGACCTGTGTGAGCAATGAAACAAGCTGCTGCTCATCCCAATCGTCCAGGCCAACACCGTCGCTCTTGACCTGCCCAGGAAAACAAAAAGGACACACAAAATGATGTAAAAGTCACCTCAATTGACTGGAAGCCAGGGATAGTTGCCTTTTTTCATGGAACATTAATACATCCACTTTCTAGAATAAAAGATGATGAAAAAGTGTATTAGTGGGCTATCAATACTAACATGATCATGAAGCACGTCCCTCACACTGTCAAGCTCACTCTCTCTGACTTTGTCTGCTGTTTTCTGTCTCTCTTGTCGTTGCACGGTGCCTGTAAAGAAGACAAGATTAATGTTAATGGGTCAACAAACATTTTTCCTTTCCTAAAATATGGTGGTTTTGGAAATGCAAGGATGCATTTATGCACTTATTGTGATCATTTTATTTGATACTGAGCTGTGAGATTTTTTTATTCAGAAAAATTTGGGCAAGACAGAGGGTGGCAAATACAGCCTTGAATTAACCTAACATGTTTTTGCAATGTGGGAGGAAGATGAAAACCATGAAAACTCCACATAGGAAGGCCCGATCCTTGAACCTCCCATGTGCGAGACAGATGCGCTAACCACGAGTGCAATGTGCCACTCACACGTAAAATAAAAACACGTTCGGTGGCTGATTCCATACCATAGAAGTGTCCAAAGCCCATACTGAGAGCAATGACAAGGGCGAGTAGGATACAGGAGTTGAGGGTTCCACTGCCTTGGCATCGTGCTCGCGGCGTCGCCGGTTCGACAGCGGTTTGCTCCAGCTGCTGTTTCTCGTCTTCCTCCTCAGACTCCACGGTGGTCTCCTCCTCCTCCTCGCAGGACTCTGTCGCGGTGTTTGCTGTATTTCTCCTCAACCTGCGCCTTCGCAACGCCAAGTTTGGTGCCGCTTCGTCATCGCTGCTGCTGGAATTTGGGGCTGCAGGTGGCGGCTGGGCTGGGAAAACTTCCAGAGACACATGCAGAAGTCAATGTTGTCATCACCACAATGTGTATTCAATAAACAAAGGGGAAATGAGTAAATATGATATATATATATATAACATGCATACATACGTGAGGTTATTCATGCCAAAATAATTCTGATGTAAGTACTTTGTGTGTACTTTTTCATCATGCAGAGGCTTTCTTTCATTTGAGTCATTAACACAAACATTCAGCAAAAACTACTCGATCAAATTTAAAACGACCCATGTGTTGTAATTCGACAGCGCTAAAGAATTTACATGACTAATTGCATAATGGACAGAGGAATCATTTACATTCGCATTTGTGACACCTTTTGAATGGCCTCACTGTGGAAAAGAAGTACTGTTTTCTTTCTTGGATTAAAAAAAAATTTAAAAAAACTTCAATGTAGAAATGTACGGCTCTACATTGAAGAGTGACAACATTTTTAAAATATTGTGCATACTTCAGAGTGTAATGATGCAAAACTATTTATTAAGATGAAACTAATGTAATCAAAGATGAGTCAAAACTATGTTCTTCGGACTATAATTTGCTCCAGAATTCAAGTCAGTCGCATTTGCCCATGTGGTGATATCCTTTATATATAGATGTCCGTTTTTGATGCAGTGCCGCCTGAGGGATCGACCATTACAGGTTTTCAATGTTGGTTTTTCGCCTTGCCACTTATATGTCGTGATTTCTCCAGATTGTCTGAACCTTTTGATGATAGGGGTCGAAGAAATCACAAAATTCCTTGCAATAGTATGTTTTGAAACCTCACCTAACTTTTGCTTGTGAATGAAATGCAGGGGAGCTCCTTTTATCCCCAGTCATGGCATTCATTAGTTCACAATTAGCCTGTTCACCTGTAGGATGTTACAAACCAGTGATCGTCCAATTACCGGGGCCGTTATTTGGCATTTTGGCGGTTATCGACATCTGCGTTTTGTTTTTTTTATCAATCCGACGGCGAGCAATTAAAAACAGTTATTTTGGCTCTGTCTGCCGAGACCGTTGCTGTGACTCTCTCGGGCATTGGTCAACCCACAGCACCATCTAGCTTGGTTGCTCGTGCAGTGAGTAACTGCCAGTCAGCAGCGAAAACTGCATGTTGCTTTAAGAGGTTGCTCTGCCTTTCAAGACTCGTGCACCGGGTGAGGAGAAAATATTGCCAACGGTCCAGTGAGCGAAGCTAAATTAAGGCTACAGACTTTAGCTAAAGTGTAATAAATCCCAGCCTTCTACAAATCTTTTTTTTTTCCTTTTCTTATCTTAAATCACAACTACATGCACTTGTAACATTACCCCTTAACATTATATAAACACAAGCAAAGAGGCAGCTCTGCCCGCTAGCATCTCGCTACACGCGGCGGGAGTGTTAATTACTTGAAATGACAGCATTTGTACTTTCAACCATGTAAAACATGCCAAGGTTTTTTGTGTATTAAATATGTTAAATAAATAAAGCCCCCCCCCCACTCCACACACACACACACACACACACACACACACGCACACACACACACACACACACACACACACACACACACACACACACACACACACACTAGTAGTCCATTGGGAGGAGTAAGTTTGCAGGCTAACTAAGAACTACACACACACACACACACACACACACACACACACACACACACACACACACACACACACACACACACACACACACACACACACACACACTAGTAGTCCATTGGGAGGAGTAAGTTTGCAGGCTAACTAAGAACTAGCCGCTAATTTGCTACATCAACCACATAGCTCTAGAGAGAGGTTGAACCGCTTGAGATAAGGTTGCCGATCACATTGATATGGAAAAAAGAAAAAAGTGGGTGAGCGAGTGCCTGTGTGTGTCTGTGTAAGCCACATTATAGCCGGGACAGAAGTTGATCGCAAAGTGCAGCAAGTCAAAGTCAATCATGGCTGCGCATGTTGCACGACTTTTTGCCACAGAAAGCCAGTGTGACGAAGAGGTCGAGCTGGCTCACACAAGAAAAAAAGGAACACCCACAAAACGCAACGGAGAGAAGGCGGTCGTGTGGATGAGATGTTCACTTCTCTGCTGGCCAATAGCTGCGTCGAGAATACACTTTTTTCTTTTTGAGCTTTAAAACAGAGATAAAAGTAAGCAGAAAAGATGAACATTTCTGTTAAAGAATACTGACATTTGGGAAAACCAATACTGCAGTAAACTTGAAGGGGATATTTGTTTTAATGTAACTAGACGACATGCTGCTGAGTCTGGGAGCTCCCAGTTGTCCATTTTGTAAGATTTAAAAAAAACCTTTAACGCATTGCAAATCAAAACACCAATTAAAAAACATTTTTGCAAATCATAATTGCTGCTATTTGGAGCAGGGCTCCATCCCTATCCCCCCCAAATAGTGAGGATTCATTTTAATAGCTCCGTGTTAACTAAACAGACCTCAACAACTTTGCGAGGAAATTCAGATGAGATATGATTATTTCGGTAGGCGATATATACTTGTTTGAGTTTTTCCAATGTAAAATACGGTGTCTCAATAGTTTGAGGAAACACAGTCTTAAGTATATGCATAGCAAACAAGACACCAAATACAAACCAGCAGTAAAACGGTGCAAAACAGCAAAGCATATTAGTGATCATGATTAGTCTGGGCATGTGTCCCGACAGCTTTCTCTTGTTGATTAGTTGATCGCAAACACGTTTTGACCACCTGAAAAAGCCCGGCCTCTTGCGAGCCGACTTCGTAGTAGACGGCAGCCCAAGTTCACAAGGCTTTGCGCAACTTTCCAGTCACTCAACCTCAGACCTGATTTGGTGATGTAAAATGAACAAATAACAAGGAAGATGTCGCGGGATAATTTTTGGGGAAACATTCTTCCCCAACGTAATGAATGGTTCAACCAGAAGTCACGAGCATCGAGGCTTTGAGGTCCTACCAGGATCTGCGGCGGTGGTGAAGGCATACTGGCTGCTGCACGACATGCCCAGAAACGAGCCCTCGTCGGCGGCTAGCGCTCCCTCTGTGCCGTCACACTCGTCCTCCTTCAGCTCTTGTAGCGTCACAATGTCCGAGTGGTCGCTGAAGGACAAGACAGCGACACGGTCTTCCCCCGCCGGGTCATCAGCTCCACCCTGAGGGGGGCGAGGTTCCATTTGTACAGAAAGTCGCGACCGTGTGACTTTGAGGTTCCCTGTGTGACGTTCTTCTCACCTCTGAGGTGCACAGTGTCTTGTCCATAGTTTGGTCTCCCAGTGTGTCATCCAGCGAGCCATCTTTGTCATCATTACATCCAGCTAGAAATATCAGAAGCATTAGTTGGGAGGAATACAAAATGTTTTCCAATCAAAAGTGAGGAAAGACTCAAGTGAAAAGTCAGTTATTCAATGTTCTTGTTATCCAACTTGAGGTCCATCTTTATATGTGTGCTCTTGTCCGACTCCTCACTACTAAGACAATTCAGCGTACTAATATGATGACAGAGCACTAGCAGAACAACTGTCTTACTAGTTAATGTCTTGGTAACAAGAATATCCAATAAATGCTCGAGGCCTCCCTCAAAGACAATTGACAATTTTTTTTCCACATTCGTGGTGTCCAGGAAAACTTTGGCATACTAGTTGGACAGGTAAATGTTACTAACGATGGAAAGTTGCACATTTCTTGACAACTGTGTGCTACTCGTACCACGAGTGACATTATAAAATTATATTTGTTAGCACCTAGGGTTTCACCAATAGTAGTGGGCAGATGTCATCTAGTGCAGTTTTGCCACACCAATAATGAGTAGTTGTACTATTAGTGTTGAGAAATGTCATAAAGTAGCGTAGGGCAGCAGTGGAAACAACGTTACAATTAGAAGTTATTCTCATGCGCCCTACTCATTTTAGTGTGCTTAGCATACTAAGACTGTCTTACATCGACATTTTCTTTCAGAACCGGTCCCACTTTTGGTCTTTAAGTATGCGATTAAGTTACTGTGCTGAACTTGTGACAAAAATTGGCCTGACTAGTCGGCACGTGTCACGCACTAGTAGGGTCCCGGACCTGACTTTTCGCACTGAGATGACAACTAATTTTGCCTCACTAGATATCATGTGGTTCTACTAATTTGCCAAAGTCATTCTACAAGCGTACAGAAATCTGTAAACGTCACTAGTAAGAAGTCAGTCATTCTATTAATGTGCCCTAGTTGTTCTGCAAGTGTTGAATTGTCTTAGGATATTGAATAAATGCTCAGATGGCTTTCCATAATCTCTCACACTTAAGAAATGGTTCATAAGGTAATCAGTATGCGAGTACACCGCTTAACTCGAAACTAGATCGTCTTGGAACTGCAGTAGAAGGTCACTAAAGTTTGTTCAATGCAGCCTTCCAAAAGGTCATATTCAGATGTACTCTTAACGAAATGTCCAAAGACATGCTTCAGAGTAATACTTTGTACATTTATGATTTGTAACAGTGTCGCTCTTAACCTATTCAGTACCAACCAATTCTAGACCAAGTCTGAAAAGACGTTTAAAAACGTCTTTGGGAGTGAATGAGTTAACAGGGGGATGCATACAAGCAGAAGTTGAGCCTTGAGAGTCCTGCAGTTCAGGTTCCACCAAAGCAGGACCTTCTTGGGTATCAGCTACAGGCTGCCCCGTGATGTCTGCCACCAAAGTCTCAATATCGGAGCCCTATAAGCACAATACAAAGCGTGGAGACATTAGAGGATTTCAACGCACAGTTCATTTGATGTGAACTGTTAGGCTACGGGCAAAGATAATATTAGACATATGATCTGAAATAAATAAAGATCATAGTTGACCACAATACACCAGAGCTCTTCTGATTTGATTGGTATTCATTGGACACTTAATTAGGCAATCATTCAATCCAATGAGATTTAGAAAAAAAAAGTATTTCTTAAACGTTGTCCCATGTTACTGAATAGGGTAGCTAGGTAATATAATAGATAGTACAATTGAAATTATTCAAATTCTTCATTGTGCACATTTAGACATGAGTCTGATGCAACAAAAGTGAAGAATGTCTTCAAAAGCCAGAGAAAAAGTGGAAATCCATGGAAATGTTTTCAGTTACAAAATGGCAAGTTGCGCGACATCTACTCAATCATGAACAGGTGGACACGTGCAGTCAAAAGTTCAGAGGTCAAACTTAGTTTGCCTGTAACGGCTTAGTGCATTTTAGGCTCAAGCAAAAATTTCACAGATTTTTGTGAGTAGTAAATATAACATATGTTCCCAGTAGATGCTTAATAAATTTGACTTTTTTGAATGCATTAATTCTTTCATTTTAGTGGGTATCATGCTCAAGCTGTGACGATATGTGCGATCAATTAGTGATAGTAGGCTTTTCGCTTGTCGAAGAATGGAAAAAAAGATTTTGTTGGTTTGCTATGCTTGTATTAGTGTTAATTAATGTTTTCTCTCGTGTTCTCTAAAGTGCTTAGTTACAGCTGCAGCTCTTGTGACAGTTGAGTGTTTCACCTCCATGCTGATGATGCTCCAGCCACAGGACGACTCGGTATCACTGGATGTGTTTGACATGATGCCAGTTTGACAGCAACGCTGGGGAAGTTGCAAAAAGATGAACTGAACACTTACGCATTTTTTATTTACAACACACGAGTTGCACAAGGCAATTTTTTATTCAACGAAGGGGCCTTGTTGCGTCATAAAACACCAACCACCACCATGTGTCAGAGACTCTGACTCATGGGTTGAGTTCATCAGTTATGCTCGTGAACTTGAGTTAATATGTTACCATTTTGAAAAGCATGACGTTAAGTAGTTTATAATAAGACATTTGAAATGGCAAAAAAAGCTGCCGCCCTTGCATTTTGTTAAGCAGCACACTGGAAAAGTCATAGAATATACGAATTAGTCCATTTGACCAAAAAGAAAAAAAAAAAAAAAAGCAGAACAGTGACGTTACGCGACAGTGTTTTGCTAGTGACGTTATATTGCCTTGATTAACTGGTTCTAAACGCGCTAAGTAACGACAAATAATGTGCATCGTCACCAGTTCGTGTCGAAAACGTCAATTCATTATCCCGAAAAACTATCGAAAATAATTATTCAAAGAAAATGTTCGCAGAAGAAGAAACCTGTATTTTAGTGTCCACCGACGATGCAGCTGGTTGCAGGCAGGCCAATAATTATTGCACGACTCACGGGCCTGGGCTCATAGTCACAACAAAGCTGGTAGTCCCTGGGAAATGTAGTTCTAAAGTAGAAGAGGATGGCGAAGAGAAAGTCATGTATCGAACTGACAAAACATCATTTCCCAACAGGCAACGCGGTAGCCAAACTGGTTGAGGTGGGGCGGGACCAACCGTGTGCATGTTGGAATTGACGACGTCGCATTTTGAAAACATAAACAAGAAAACGTGACTACTGTAAATAGAAAGCATACCGCATTCCTAACGTTGGAAAGGAAATTATATATTTAACAAACTCTTCGCTTGTACACTATTTGAAAACATTGTCATTGAAAAAAAAATTGGTTAAATAATTTTACTTTGCCTTTTTCGAGTGACGGGAGCCCAAGAAAACAGAACACGCGGACATTTATGATTCACTATAAAATATAATCATTTTTCATGAGCTGCACCCATGGCATTACACATTTTCCAAGATATTATTTTTTTAACATTTCAAATATGCCGTTTGTGTAGATGACTCCTGTTTGATTTCATAAACTAGTGCAATGTTTCCCCTACCTTTATTTGCAACAGAAACAAAAAGCATCCAAATCCAACTGTGTCATGCACAACACGGCTTCTCTTCTGGTGAACCCATTACGTCACATCCAGATGTGCTAAAAGGGGTTACAGTACTGTAATGCAATACTTAACAAATGGCAACAGTTGGACACACGGGTTTAATGTAGCTTTTAGCCATCCAAGGAAAGATCATTTAATTGCTCTGTCACTATATGTTGCTGGCAAGGATAGATGAACAAAGATATATTTGTAGTTGATCATTTTCAGACCAAGGAAGTGAAATTTGATCATTTCCCATTTACAGTGGCTGGTAGTCACTCAACTGGTGCATATGACAGTATACGGTATGTTGTATATGACTTTATATTTTTAAACGTAAAATAAGTCCAAAATCTGATGACCATGTCAATGGCAAACCAAAGCTACAGAAAGAATAAACAAAGATGAAGTCTTGAATGTTAGATTAGCATCCAGGGCAAGCAGAATGGGGGTCATAAAGACAGTGTTTGTATTTTGTCCTGATCTAAGAATTGATGTGTTCATTTGTGCTTCTTGTTCATGGATTTAAATGACTGCTAATGGCGTCTGATGGTACCAGTTGTCAAATAAAATTAAATAATCATCAGTGAGGTTGAGGGACAGCTATGCAGGTTTGTGATACACTAAATAAATACTCAACACTTGTTTAAAAAAAAAAAAAAAGACAAGTTTGTTTTATTTTTGCGTTTTATTGAGAATCAGACTTTTCACAAGTAAACACAGTCTAAAATCTAAACAATTTTGTCAAAAACAAAATCATTGTGATGACAAAGACAAACAGACAAGCATTAACAAAAGCATGATAATTATAAGAGATACATTCAATTATCCTGACTTTGTCTTCTGAGGAGGAGCAGCCCGGGGTGCCCCTGAGTTTTATATAAAATGACCCACGGCTCTCGACACTTGAACTCATTATCACAACATTACTGCCCAAAGGTTAAAAAAAACGAGAAACTTGTTAATTCCATTTTTTGCAATTCACATGATCGGATAGCAACGCATGAGAAGAGATCAGGACAACATGCAAGGTTGTTCTCATGTGTGAATAAGTTGCATTTGGCCAGATTCTCAGAACCACTGATTCAAAAAACCCACGACAACACCTCCCTTTAGCGGAATCCTAAACACCAAACAAAATACCCATCACAATATTTCGCGCAGTGTGCCGTAGTTTCTTCTCAACCATATGAGAAGACCGGCCAAGTTCAACAAGCCACAAATCGAAACGATGCATTTGAACTGATCCATTCTCGCCAATATGCAACGGTGACCTTTTCAAAAAAAATCTTTGGTTTATAATCTTTGCTCCTGAAAACAAAATGTAACTGATTGTATCATCCAAAAACGACCTCCGATTAAATCCTCTGATTAGAAGCAGCCAATGTAACAACATCTGTGCACCCGCTGACCTTTCTGCTGCAGTCTTTTGTAAAAGGACTTCAATGTTTCACTGTGTTGGTTGGGTGCTTCCTGAGGGGAATGGAACTGTAAAACACCCTTTCTATTCATTTCGATATTCATATCATTTTTCAATGGACTTGTAAGCCAAGATCCAGCTGCATCGGAATCACAGAAAAGATCATTGGGTGCACGTTTGCAAACACATGGCCGCACCGTTGCAACACAGATATCACTAAGAATGCATATACTTCTCACCTACAATGTACAAAACATCTGGTTGCATCAGTTTTGGAGGAACTCAGCAAGAAGGTCATTTGTTTTTGTGCGCAGCATAGGAATGATTAGCAATCGTCACTCATGGACGTGAATGCTGCTGGCACTTTCCTGGGGGGAACTTGTCCTAGTTCAAGGCCACTAACGTGCATTAAAGGCTTGGTTTTGAGGAACAGCGCCTCGGCTGATCTTCATCTTTGGTCAAATGCATTTGATTATTCCACATTCTCCTCTCCGCTGACAAGACTCAAATTAGGGCTGAACAATTTCTTGAATTCAAACTGACATTTGACATACATGTTTACGCCACACTTGCTTGTCGCAGTGAACGCTTAAAAGACTGCAAGTCAGTGCTTAGTCAGTTCCCAGCTTGAATTGAAGTAGATAAATAAACGGTCGTTCATATTCATTCATGATACATTTGATTTGATTTTAGTGTAAACATGATAAAGCTGACATTGTTTATTTTAATAGCGCTTGTTTTATTGCTAGTGTTTGTTAAAAATACATGTAAAGAAGAACTTGAAAGAGTAGTGGCATATTAATTCCCAATTGCAATATTGAGGGAGAAAATTTGATTATTTCTAAAAATCATTCAGCCCTAATTTAAAACAAATTCAATGTCAGGTATGGAAACTGTCTTTGGGTCCTAGCGTCGGTCACCGCTACGCATTGGCCTACTAATATAAAACTACTTGGCAGACAAGTGCTAATCATTATCTACTCTAGAGGAAAACGAGAAAAAAAAAAAAAGATCAGGAGCGAGATTCAACGACATCGTGTACTCAGTAGTACAAAGCCTCTCATAAAAATAGACATTTTCAGGAAGTTGAACCGTATGTCGTTCACTAAGATTCTTCACTTTCATCCCTGATGATTTAACACTCGCGGTGTTACTCCAATCACTCTTCATGGATTCGCGTCCTCTACCTGAGAAACGGGAAGCCGCGCTCGGCCTCCCAGAGTCGAGATGCGTCCACGTTAAGGCCAATTATCAGGTGGTTCAGTACCTGCGTGCCACTGCCGGCACTAGTATGAAGCCGTTTGAGCATTTCGTTCAAATCTTGATATACAGCTTAAGGTCCAGGCACTAGCATGCCGTTTTTCCTCACTAAAAATACTCCTAGTGAAGTGCAAAATTGCATTTGTGGAATTTTATAATATCACTTCACTAAGCTGTAAAATAAAATACATTCAACTCAAATTAAGTTTTAAAAAGTTGGGTGAACTCACAATTTCAGGGCAGAAAATCTGATTCATTTCTTTATTTGGGAACATTTCATGAAATGTTTTAAGCTTTACTTTTGTGACAGTTGGCTGTCTTGCATTTTACAACAAATTGTTGACAGAAATGTTGTCCCTTCTATCGAATCCCAAATGAAAGATAAAATTACCAGCAACTCAGCAAATTGTTTTGGAGCAAACGACGACCTTGCTTCGTTGTTCCAACATTCTTGTCATAAATGTCAATAACACATCTTTTATTATTCTATGTATGTCTTCATTTTATGCCAAAATATGCATGTTTTTTGTTTGTTTTCAAACACGCAATTTCTGTACTAGTATGACAAAGCAGTCCTAATTAGTGACGATAAAAAGCGCACACATCTTCAGCTGGATTTGGAATGATTACATTTGAGCATTTATTTGACATGCTGCAAGTGTGCTGAATTGCCTTCCTCGTGAGGAACGAGAATGTACTTGGACCTTGAAGTGGCTGTCAAGCATATGGAGGAAATGCTCAAAATGGCTGGCCATACGCTTGCTGTGTGCCCACGGACACAAGCAGGAGGTAGACGTAAAAGACAAACAATACAACAACAACAGCAACAAAAAAAGAATCACATAAGGATTCGGGTCTTGTGAGGGATGTCTCAGCTACTGGCACAGAGATACATTCATAGCAAATCTATTCGGCATTTCGACACGCAGCTTACTTAGTACTGAGAAGATACCCTGTCAGTTCACCATGTAACACTACATGATTTTTTTTTTTCAATGTACTAAAACTTTGTTCCCTGAGTTTAAGAAAGCCGACATAGAATCAAATTAATGGGAGGTAGTATAAAAACAGGAACAGCAGGGAAGCTGTCCACAAACATAAACACAAACAAACAATAATATACATTACTTGCTTCCACGCCGTGACTCAAGAATGGATTGGAAAACACGTCTTAATACTGGCTCAGGACCTCGGCAACACCCGAGGAGACAAATGTGTGTTTTGCATTCGGCGTCAGAAAGCAATGGAAGCTACGCCGCCCTTACTTACATTCCAGTGAATAAGAAAGGGAAAAGGAAAATCAAGACGAAATGGGAGGACAATCAGAAAAAAAAAATCATCATGAAGTATCACAGGTTATGGAAAGTCGCACAAGACAGTAGTTATTAAATATACAGCGGAGGTTTGGCTCGTAAGTGAACCGAGGTAGATAATCAGCGAAAAGGACTTCCCTTTCGCTCCAGTGATAAACTCTCTTAAATAAAGTTTTTTTTCTTTAACATTCATGGTGGGTGAGATTTCGTTTTTTTTTTAAATGATATACAAAATATAAAGAATACAACAAAAAAAAAAACAAAAAAACGAAATGCCTGCTGAGATAAAATGCTGAAAATTGAGCAAGCTTGAGGGTGAAGGTTTGAAAAAAAAAAAGTCTCATACAGGCACACACACAGGCAAAGCGCTTTGAGCATACTCAATATCAATGATTTCCCGCTTTGGATCCATGTACTAGTACATGCTTTGTCTTCACTGGCAAGACATATCAGTGCACTAGTGGTTAGTGTCATACAAATCATGATTTTTCCACGACTATATGATATTTTTGCGCGGTGCACTGCACTTCCCTCCACTTTAGTATTATTTCGGACTAGGCCAACTACATGCGAGGCAAAACTGCATGAGTTGACAACTGCACGCTACTAGTACGTTTTGTGACATTAAAATCTACTAGTTATCAACTCGAACTTCGCTGATATTACAAGTAACACCCAAATATCAAGTACTGCCAAATTTTGCCTCACTAGTAACTTGTTAATTCTCCTTCGAAGTACCGGTATTCCAAAATTGAAATGCTACACTAGTGCGCTGAATTATCTTCCTAGTGAATGCAAAGTGGTTATTAGTACATAGACCTCAAGGCCATACTACGTACTAGTAGGCAGTACTCGTGTTAGAAATGTTACTAGCAACTTAGTCAGACACAGATTCTACTAGTGCACTGAATTGTCAAGTAGTACTAGTTGATGAACCTGAAGCTAAATATCAAGGATATGGAATAAATGCTCAATTAGCTTTTCGTTATCCACACACATAAGATACTCACACAACCTCACACACTGAGAGCAGAGGCCGAGCGCTTTGGGCTTCCTGATGACAGCAGAGATCCTCAACCGACTCCACCAACCTCAAATCCGTCTGACCGTCCCGGGCTAGACGACAAGCTTGTTCCTCTTCCTCGCTGCTACCGCTGTCCTCCGCCGTCGTCACGGACGACTGGCGGCTGCTCGGACCAGACGACAGGTGGCTCATCTCCGTATCGTCTTGCGAGAAGCGACCGGAGTCTGTGGTGGCGTGGCTGCCCTCGCTGTTGGAAGACCCTTCCGAATCCACGGGATGCCCAAGCAGACTTTGCGGTGAGGCGGGCTGCTCTGCGGGGACCGACAGTTCCTCTTTGAAGGTCAGTACAGTGGAGCCCGGCTGGTAGGAAACAGTCCCGCGTCTTGTCTTCTACAATACAGAGAGCAGAAAAAAAAAAACAACACATCTTAGGTTACACACAAACTTGGTTTTCCATGTGTGAGCTGCGAGGGTCACATTGGTTACACCAGAGATTTTCATTTGTGTCATATCAAAAATAATGTGTTGTATATCGATATTTCCGAATTTTTGTGAGAAATTATGACCATGAATGGTGTCCATCTCTCCAATAAAACACAATTGGATACGTATCTCGATAAATGGGGTGCAACACAAACAAACAATGACGTGTTTTAACCCTTTCATGCACCAATAAAGATAACCTGGAACCTGATAAGATGTCCACTGTAGTAACCCTGAAAGGGTTAAAGTAGAACAATTCGACTCGGTTCCATTACACTTTGGCATATGCTTGATTTCAGTGGCGGTATTTACTTTACCTGCACCTCTTTACCGCTTTTGTTGCCATGGCCACTGAAGGAAAACCATTTGCTTTTCTTCTCAGCACTGGACTGAACTGGACCAAGGGAATTTATGATGAGATTTGTTCCACCCTAGGAAAGAAGGCAAAGTAAGCATAAGCATGATACAAAATATGAAACCAGGGAGATGTCTAGTGTACCGCTATGAGAAGCATCTCAGAAAAGCGCCATGTAAATTTGATGCAGTCCTATAGAAGATTTGATAACTAAAATAGCGTATACTGTACTGTAAAAATTACAGAGCACAGTTATTCTATTGCCAAGTACTGTACTTCAAAATAAAGTACCGGTACTATACTTTTAAAATAAATTAGAGTGGGTGCATTGTAAAATAACAGTAAATTACTGGCATCTATGCTGCCAGTAATTTACTCTTATTTAATAGAGAAATTCTTGACAGAGCTGAAAATTGATAAGTAGATGATTCAAAGCTGTGTTACATTCCGTGTTAAGCACCTTGGTATCGATGAAATAATTCTGGCTCATCACGGCAACGCTCACGTCAGGGTTCTCAGCCTGGCCCTGTGAGCCGGGGCGTCCTGCAGTAGAGGCGGGCAAATTCCTTCCTTCTCTGTGCATTTTGATGGCTGATTGTTTCCTACGAGGAACAAACAAGTAACATGAAACTGACTGAACCGTGGATGGCAAACAACTAGTAGACTGCACCTGTGTTTGCCTCTGCATACTATGATGAAAGCACAGATGATGATGCACATGAGTGCAATGGAGACCCCCACGGTGATGCCTGTCATTGACATTTGGTCTAGGTGGTAGAAGCCATCGGAAAAGACTGTAAAAACCAAAATGAGGAGGTCACAATAATCCTGTGGGCTCGATTCCGACCATTTGTTTCCACCGCACTTCCTTTTATAAACCAGTTTGTTTCTATGAATGAAAAATATAATGCCACTTCCCAGTGGTGAGGATTTAAACTTCAGCTCTTCAGATAGATCCACAATTAAGTCTTTATATCCATTTCCACTTTGTAGTTCTGTCATGGCCACGTGTGGCCTGTTGACAACTGCATTTTGTCATTCCTTGTTATTTACTGGAATGATTCACACAATTTGGATAAAATCGGTTTCATTCTAGACTCAATGCAGCACAACATAACACGCGACAGATTTTTTTTTTCTACCAGATTACATCATTCATCAGTTTTTGGAAAAGGGCAAAATTACATGTTATCTAATATTCTTAGTTTCTGAATGGCATTTAATGGCGGACAGCAGTCCTGTGGAGCAAATGACAGAAAACGTTGGTTTTAAGAAGTGAAGCAACATTCTGTTGAAGAAGTAATTATTTTGCATTGCAGACTATGCTTACGTCTAGTAAAACTGAACAAGCTGTAAGTTTGAAAAAGAGTAGACATATAACGAAATGAAGACATTGCTGACCATTGGACCGTGGGGAGCCCTGCGAGAGCCGAGGGTCGTGACCAGAGGAGGGATCTGCTCGCACTGTCAGCTCCACCATGTGAGAGAAGGGCCCATCGCCCATGTTGTTGGACGCCGACACTTTCACCAGGTAGAAGTGGCCAGGCTTCAAGTTCTCCAGCAACGCCATGGTGATACTCCCTGTCAGCCATACAGTACAACTGCATTGCTCTTATTTTTGTTTTGTGTTCATGACTATGTTTACATGGAAAGTTGTTGAATGAGGGGGAACAAAATATTTTGACACATCATTTGAATATAAAAGCCTTGTAATCATCCGGGGTTGAAATGTGAAATTCGGCGTTGGCGCCACTCTGTGGTAGCACAGTGCACTGACAGAGCAAATAAGTAAAGAAAAAAGAGGAATAACGACTTTGTTGGGGGAAAAAACCTCGACTAAGTCGGATAATTGCACCACAAAAATAGGTCGGCACAAATTTTTGCCCCAGAGATTTGCCGGCATTATATTATGGCACCCGCGCAGACTTTCAGGGCAACTGTGGACTGCTACCAGTGTGGTCAACACATTCTGACGTTTCAGTCTACTGGCACCCTCTATTGGTGACAAGTTGTGTGTACAATCAAACAATAAAATAAGTCATTATTCGCCACAGACTGGGCGTGCTTGAGTCGCTCCCAGCTGTCTTTGGGCAGTAGGCGGGGTACACCCTGAACTGGTTGCCAGCCAATCGCAGGGTACACAGAGACGAACAACCATCCATGCTCACGATCACACCTAGGGACAATTTGGTTGCGCCCAATCACTGCCATGCATGTTTTTAGAATGTGGGAGGAAAACAGAGTACCTGGAGAAAACCCGCGCAGGGACGGGGAGAACATGTAAACTCCACACAGGAAGGCCGGAGCTGGAATCGAACCCTAGACCTCTGCACTGTGAGGTCGACGCGCTAACCAGCCGCCCACCGTGCCACCGCCATCATCAATACCATCATTATTTTTCATGTTTTGGTAGCAAATAGACATGGATTTCAATTACTTGCTTGTAGATATGGCTCAAAAGATTGTGTGTAAATAAGGTGAAAAGCAAAGTAATCACAAAAGAACGACAAACGCCGCAAACTTAAGCTGTCACGCATCACAACAAAGGGAAGAGAAAATGTCAGCGAAGATGAAATAACGTATTGATTTCCAATGGACAATTTGTCGAGGACTGGAGCAAAGCTTTGTGAATGGATTTATGTATCTCCCTGCCTGTGTGGCTCTTTTCTCTCGCTTCTCACACATATACACATACCTTCTCTTTGCACCACCTGCCATTCCCCGGTGAGCCACTCATTTCTGGAGGCATACAGGATTGTGTAGTGTGTAACAGAAAGATTGGCCTCCTCTGGGGGTTTCCATGAAACCAGGGCGGTGTCCTCGTCGATCAGAGTCACTTTGATGCTGGTGGGAGGCAGCGTGGGAGCTGTGAGAGATGGAAGACAAGTCATGTCAATCCAGGTGTGAGATTTTTTTTCACGGGCCACCTTGTAAGTATGGTTTCCCTCGGATGGCTTGTATGGCTTTGAACTCATAAATGCATGCACGCCTGATGTTATTACTTTTACACAACAAATTGATGGGGAACAAGCCATTAAATTGTGTGTTCACCTAAGTTTCAGTTTATTTTAAAGGTGGGATTGGTAACAAAAAATATTGTAGTATCTCATATGTCAGTGTTGTGAAGACAATTTGCAAAAACAATGAAGTCAACGGACATGATATGACTTCTAGGGTCCCAAAAAATGATGCCGCGGGGCACATCTGGCCCCCGGGCCTTAAGTTTGACACCCATGCCCTAATAAGAATCAAAAGCTGTGCCAAGGCCGAATCCAAAGCGATGTAATGGTGACATCTGCTGATGTTCCTCAATCCGGTTATGTGGAAGTTTTAATTTCCCAGATAAATGGCACGAGACCCTCTTGCACGACTACCTATTTGAAAAATGGACTTGACAAATGTACATATTCGTCAGTGGCAGTCAACGGTTGAATTCCAGCAGATGAACAGAAATGTCCACAGCAATGAATGAGCTGAAAATAACAAGTCAACTTCTATTTTAATACTGTTACAGTGAAGACTTGTTATTTGGTGTGAATGTGAGTGCGTGGGCGTGATCTGTAGCTAACAGCAGCTTCTGCGCTAATTAGAACTGTGAAGTAGACATGCTAACCACGAGATCAGCGTCCACGTTGTGTACAAAAAAATTGATGTGTGTTCATTGTAAGCCTTATGATTCAATGATATGATTCAGCATTGGTGATTTGCGGATGAAAAGGCACTCACCCTCAGGGAAAGTGCTCTGGTAGACCACGGGGCTCCATGGGCTGGACAGCTGGTCAATATGAAGCCGGATAGCAAATTCATACTTGGTGTTAGGCTGCAGATCTCGCACGAAAAGGCTTTGCTCATTCCTGAATGCAAGATCGATATTAAAAAAATGTAAGCCTGATGAATACATGAACACATTGATGGCACATGCATGGAGAATAAGCTCTTACGTTTGCAGGTAGAGCACCAGGGAGGCGTTCTGCAAGCCGATGGGATTGCATCGGACGGTGTAGTTGACCGCGTGGCTGGAGGTGAAGGCCGGTCGGCCCCAGTGAAGAAAAATGGTCGACGAACTGTTGGTCTTTGCGTACACGTTATGAGGTGGTGGCGGAGGCGGCACCAGGCGATCTCGGACAGCTGAGAAATGCAAGTAGGCAAATGATGCTTGCCGTTGGCATCGGAAAGATATGTATTTAGTAGGGCCTGTCTTATTTGATCAGTTATTTTTAGCTCTTTTAAAAGCTGCAAAAAATTGGCCGATGTTTTGCTGATTTTTCTCTCTTTTGTAAAGTTGAACAAATAAAGGACAAAGGATTGTAAAACAGTCAGATGTTCTGCCTGTAATTCTTACATTCATAGTTGTAAATATTAAGGGAGAAAAAGGGAATTATTTAATTCATTTTATTATTATTTTTTTTAATCGGTATATTAATCGTTTTCAGAATTTTATCCTGACCAATATCGAAATCGGCATCAACCGCTAAAAAGTTGGGTGCCCGTAGTTGTTGAACATCTCAAAGGTAAAACACGGTGAACGTCAACTAATATTGCGGTTTTTCATTCGCACCCCCGATTTTAAAGCAACCATTATTTGATGGATTTTTACAGTATGCAAAGTATGTACAGTCTAGTCCATATTTAGAGCTGTGCACTTTCAGTGTCGTACCACAGCGTAGAAAAAACAATGTGTTTTTTTTCAGAGTTGTTGACACATTAAGTGTTTTTCAAAACTCACAGACACATCCGGGGGTGCTGATCGTCTGGTCTGCCTGGTAGCCATCGCCAATGAAGTTGTAAGCCAGAAGCTTCACGTGGTACTTCTTCCGTGGGTCTGCATTTAAAAAGAAAGTAGATGACAACATTTCAAAATCAAACAATGTAGGGTTTCAGTTGTGGACGTTGATTAAGAACTACAAAGATTTCCTGCTTGTGATCACTGAGAATTAAGAGTACCTATTTATCCTGACTGAGTGGGTGTAGGGTCAATGGGGGCTTTGGATGTGATGGTGTGTTGGGACTGAGAGCGATGTCAGCCGGCCAGATGCTCTCACTATACGATTTGACTGGATCAATGACCCAATCATCCGTCTTTTGAATGCAAAAAACCCAAAAAGGTCCTTTATCTTGCCCAGGTCAGCCTTCGCTGCTTAGTGGTCAGTGGACACTTGTATTCACAGTCACAACTGGGGGGGTAAGGGGTGGGGACTGGACTAAGAAAATCTCCAGGGAAGGACATTGGTGGTGGCCAACAGCAGTTGTGGGCCGCGGTGACCTTAAGGACGCTGACCATGTGACCAAATTCAATTGTTTATTTCACACTCAGGATTCACAAAAGGTGCAGATCAAATCTAGTCATCCAGTGCAACATGATATATTTGAGGATATAAAATAACATGACGTTAAAACCACATTATTCCACAATTTCCATTCAGAATGTGAACATTGAATTCAACAAATAAATAGAGTTCATTTTCAGATGACCATGACTTGGCTGACTGACAATCTACACAAGCATGAAGGGGAAAAACATGCAATTTAGCGAGCACACTAGTATTTTGGTATTGATATTGTGACAGTAAGTTAAAAATGACTTGCGCGATTATGCTTTCTTCAAACATGATCATGAATGTCCCTTTCTGTGGTTATATACACATTCGGTACAACTGCATCCAGTGACAACAGCTGTATAGTAAAGTTTTACCAGAGGTATTAACTTTTGAGAATGTGTTTATTCAGTGATGTTGAAGTATACCTTCATACCAAGGTTACGTTATTTTGTTACAGATCAAAATAGCTCAGAGTATGATGCGCATAACACATGAAAAAATATTTTAATAAAATGGTGCCTTAAGATACAAAGTAATTTTGTTCCGTGACCATGCTCGTAACTTCCTTGCATGTTGTGTAACACTTGCATCTAAAATAACATTTCCACATTGAAATACGTGGAAATAAGAAATACGGCACTCTGTAAAATTGTACTTTCTAAAAACATACAGTAATGACATAATTAAATCAAATGCATGATTAAATAGGAAATTAAACAGGTTTTGCCACATTTTTTGCTTCAAATTCCAATGGACATTGTGCTGCTCCTTTTGGTGTGCATGCATTGGCCACTCGGGGGCAGTATAATAACAGACATACTGACATACTGTACATGGAGCCAGTCTCAAGTTCTTGCTTGTAATTTAGAGCAAAAAAAAAAAAAAAAGTGATTTCAGTCACTGCCTCAAGGCACCACTATACTTATACAAAATTACTCTAACTACAATCGCAAACAACTTCCATGCACGTGTACCTGCAGTTGTGGTCATTTACTAAGAAGAGTGATAAAATGAGACTGTTTCAGAAGAACAACATCAAGATGTTTAATGCTAAACATTAGCAGAATAATCAGAGAAAAAGTTATGTGCAGGAGGTGTTTAGGAGGGGGGGAGGAGGGGCTCTCCTTCCACCACCCCCAACACAGGCCAGAGGAGCTGCACTGGAGCCAGACCAAGGCCAGGGGGTCAACCTGAGATAAAACTCTGAAAACTCAGGTCACGGGTGTGGAATATGAGAAGAACCTCACAGGGATTCTTATTAGTTCCCCTAAATCTGCCATCATACTTTGCATAGTTACAAACTGTTTGAGAGTTTTTGATACCAAGCTCAAGGACCTAATTGAACACTTAACTTTGATGCCTTTTTGTCCACCTCAAAAGAGAAGCATAATGTGCATCTCAATACAAAGGACCTAGCGTAATTATGTCGCAGAGGATCTCTGACGGGGTGAGTGGGGTGCGGGGTAGGGGGCGTAAGCTGTGACATCTGGGCTGTGACCTTTGACATGGAATCCGGGCAAGCTAAATCCTGCAAAAGGAGGGGATATAGGGCTCTTTTGGAAGGGGGGAGGGTCAAGCACAGGAAGTGCAAAAGCAGGACAATACTACCGAGAGACAAATCTTAATGCTGAAATGTTTGAAATGATGAAGGAAGTGTGGCTCATTATCAATACAGTCTGTTGTTGTGTTTTAGTATGGTCAACATTCCAAAAATGGGTCCATTTTTAATTGCCTCATTCACTACCGAAGTAAAACTCATCTCAGTACACATTGGAATGAATGGGAATGCCATTCGTCCATTCCCCCCTCCATAAAAAAACGGAAAAAAAGTACGGAATAAAAAAATCATACCATAATTAGACAAAATGAAAAAAATAAACAGTTTGTGTATCAAGACAGCCATGTACACATTAATGAAGATTTTCACAACTTCTGTGAGAGTCAGTAACCGACACAAAGATTTGCCGTTCTTTGCAGCGGATAAAGACTACACCCCTGTGAGTATTGTTGTCTGTTACTGTACCATTTGCATTCAAATATCCTTGAAGCATCATAACACCGCCACCTGAATGCTATTCGTTAGCCTGTCTATTGTGTTTCCTATCATGTATTAGCATCAAGCTAGTAGACTTTAAAGCAAAGTGTTGTGGTTGTTTTAAATGCAGAACGTGATTATTTTGTTTGTGTTTAATTTAGTAAGCTTCAATCAAGACTAGCAATAAAAAGCGAGAAGCCACTTTTTTGAGGAAGTTGCCAAAGTTCTGCTTGCTGTCCAAAATGTTTGGACATGTAAAATTCCAACATTTGGAAATAGTTATTACCAATAGTTTAGTTATTTTTACATTTGTAACTTATACAAGAGCTTTAAAACCACATTTCACAATGGCTCCTAAACCATTTTTTCTTTCCAAATCAATAGGAATAAACCCAAACTCACTTATGAAAGTTGCTACAATATAGCACTTTGCGTAAAAGTTTCATTGGCTACTCAATCGAATAGGGTTGAATTATTCATTTGCCTAGATTACAACAAATTGTATTCTTAGAATACAGCATTCTTCGATTCGTAGACATTCCTCGAGTAAAGTATGTTCCTGTTCTTCCCACTGGTGTAAATCTCTCATGGCGTGACTTCCATAAATCAATGTGTTTGTATTAAAGGGCACATTTGAGCCATTAGTGGTCACCCTCTTCTTTCTTTTTTTTTCTTTTTTTTTTAACTGCAAAAATGCAGACCTCATTGGCTTCTGAGGTTTTGTTCTGCCCTGCGAAAGGCCCCCCAGGCCGTAAGCAAGCCTGCCCTGAACAGGGGTCGTAAACGTCAGGCCGCACCCCAGCATCTATCATCCCGTCCCCCGCATCCTCACTCTCACCCTCTCTCTCTCACACACAAACACACACACACACACACGCACGCACGCACAAAACAAACAGAAATGTCAGCGCAAAATGATCCTTCAAGTGAGCTCCAGAATAACATGCATCATGCATATTTGGGTTGCATCAACAAAATGAACAGATGATGTGTTGTCATGAGGCATGAATGTCCAGTTGGGTACACAGCGCTGCCTGGTGCCAAAAGGTTTGAGTTATTTGAGCTCACCTCACAGGCCAGGCAAAGGACACAGTCCACACACACAGACGAGGTAAAGGTCACACCTTTTACACCCGAGCGGAACCTCCGGAACACATTCCTGTCCCTCCCGGTGCGCTTTCAATCATTTGGGACTGTTATACTCTACTTTGTCAAACAGCTCAGAGTAGGCCCTCGTGAAGCCATACACACCATGCTGAATCAGGAGCATCCGCTTTGGTCACAGCTGAGCATTCCGAAATCGATGTTATTGACAACAGAAGGATGGATGAGTAGATGTATTGGAAATGCTATTTAGAGTACAAGAATATTCAAATGATAACAATCCTCTGGTCATCAGGAAAATGAACAGGCAGCATTTTTGTTAGTTGCACAATATCTGCTTGGATTACAGCCTCAATATGTGCAGAAGCCCAAAAACAAAGATATGACACTCGAAATCTTCCTCATTTTTAGTGCTCATTCAAGACAAGGGAACTCAATTGTGGAAAGGAGATGAAATCATCTAGTCACAAAACAGCTCAATAGCACATCTAAAAGTACTTACAATGCAAAATATATATCCATAATCCATAAAGACAGCACAGGGAATCTGAAGGGGATTTCGATGGCCTTTAAAACGCTTCTGAATTTGTTCAAAATGGAATTCTCACGTTTTGGTTCTTCATGTACGTTGAAATGACAACAAAGAACAACCATGCAAAAAGATAGGAGGTGCAACATAGGTCAAAAACAATTTATCGTAACTCTCACACTACAAAAATCTAAACCCCAAACACACTTAAAAAACATGCGAAAAATCTCTCACACACCCAGAAAAACCTTTCAGCTGCACAAAAAAGTGACGAAAAAAAAAAGCTCTCTCACTTCCAAAAAAAAAAAAAATTTCACATTCCACAAAAAAAGCTCAAGCTCAACCAAAATACTCGGAGGAACACTTCCCTTCCCCAACAAATGCACATGCAAACGCACAAAAAAGCCACTCATCCAAAAAACTCACTCACCAGAAAAACTCTCACGTTCACCAAAACAACTCACACACTCACCCCAAAACTCTCTCACACTCACAAAAATGCTCTTACACACCATTTTTCTAAAACAAAACCCCCCACAGAGAGAAGATAGCAATCTTATTTTTTTTTACTGTGTGAGACTTTTTTTGTCCAAGTGAGAGTAAAAAATTGTGCATGAAAGCAAGCTTGAAAATGAAAACAAAGCCATATAAAATCTTAAGACGCCGATTGGCTTTGCCGTGTAAAGGGACCCAGGAGATCCCTTTAAACATCCGTAGAGGGCGTTCAAAGTGTATGAACTCCACTACATGAAGAATGCATGCCCCTAAGCAATGCTAACACGATTGGAACACTAACAAGCATGAAAACACGCTGGTAAATTTCCCCATTGTGGGAC